GAAACATCGATGAGAGAGAGTCATCGATCAGCTGCCTCTTGCACACCCCCCACTGGGGATATGCCCGCAACCAAGGTACATGCCCTTGACCGGAATCGAACCCGGGACCCTTCAGTCCCCAAGCCAACGCTCTATCCATTGAGCCAAACCGGTCTTGGCTAACTTTATATTTTAAACTATGTTCAACATGCTGCATTTTCTTTTCTTTCTTTGTAAGGTTCTTGCTACGTTGCTATGAGTGTATAGGTAAGAAGTGTAATAGTCCATACAGTTTTAAAGCTTACAAAACCCTTGGGGACAATCAAAACGAACCACCTCTTTTCTTACTTGGGCCAAATGAATCGAAGATGATGTGTAACTTGCACAAGAACACTTGTCTCTGTACTCCCAGGCAGTTGTAATATGCCCTACATTAGGAGAACCAGGATGCCCTGGTAATGGGGAAACAGGTAAACATACAGGTGAGAGACCCTTAACTCCATTTGAGGGACTTCTGAAATCAGTTTTTTTCCAGCCAAACAAGCCTTTTCTACAAGGAAGTTTCTTGTCTGAGCCAGGCACTGATGCAATTCTTTACCATGGTGGGGGTAATCTAGGCTTGGGGCTAGATATAATTATTTCAAGGCCTGAATCTGCAGTGTGGGGGATGAGCTGGAGGGTGTCCCCACACTACTAGCATACAAGAACCCTATAAGACAAACGTCTGCCCCAAAGCTACATCTCATTATGGAGGAAGAAACAAGACCTAGTGTTAACAAAAGTTGGCAAAAGAACAGATTTCTCATGTCTTAAAAAAGGGAAGCTGTCAAGAATTCCTCAACCTCCTTTCCATCACCCTATCCAATCATAGAGCTTCACTTATTGTCAGGCCTGGTGAAGACCTGCTGCCTGCTACAGCCCTGAGACCAGAATTATCAGCGTGCTTCCAGTGCCCTTATTACACCTTTATCTCTGGGAAGAATTCTGTTGGCAACAGTCAGAGCCATGTACTTACTGTTGTCCCTGAGCTTTGTTGTCTTCAGGGATCCAGACCAGCCTAGAAGGATGCAGATTCTGAGATACGATAGGAGATGGAGATAAAATATTTACAGGGAACCTTGGCAGTCAGAAGGTTTGGCATGGAATAAGAGAATCCCAGGACCTGTGTTGTGCTCCCAGCTCTGCCACTGATCCCCTGTGTGACCTTGAGCACATCCCTTCATCTCTCCTTGGGCCAGTGTATCCTTAAAGCAGAGAAAAACCTGAAGGAGAAAGGGTCTGTAGGGATTCACCCAATTCTCAGATTCTGCAAGTCCATAAATTTGGTGGGCTCAGAGGTGAGCATTACCTGAACATTATTCCAGTAAAATCAGAGGAATCAAATGAGTTCTTGGGTTGCAGCCAAACCTGGTGGTTAGGGTCCTGGGCTCAAAGCTTTAATTACTGTGTGACTTGAGGAAATACATTTGAATCTCTGTACCTCAAATTCTTGTTTATCAAGTAGAGCCAATTTTAAGACAGACCCCAATGAAGTGCCTATAGCACAGGAGGAGAAAAACTCGGTGAGGTAAGGAGGAACCTGGCTGAGGAGGATTTATGGGAAGATATCTACTTGGGTGGTGCCCTTGTGGTCTGTAGGAAAATGGGTTTCCAGAGATCTAGCAGTTATCATATCCTGAGGATATCTGGGCAACAAAGGGACTGCAAAGACACTGAAAAGTGAGGGAAACCAGATGACTTCTTTAGTTGCAACCATATGCCCTGTTCTGTACTAAATGCTTTGCAAACACTTTTGCATTTAGACCTCCCAACAGCCCTCGGGGGGCTGTGCACAAGGTCTTGTGACTGGTTCAATGTCACCTGCTAGTAAGTGGTGGTGGATCTGGGATGTGATTTCAGTTCAAGTCTGCCTGGTGCCCTGAAGTCATCATCTCCTCTTGTCTGGGCCTGCCTCACCACACCTCCCCCATCACAGAGAAGTAGAAATTGCAGGCCAGTCAGTTTAACTCTCTATCAGAGGTATGGCAAGAAGCTTTAAAAGATAAGGTTGCAAATAGAATAAAAGCGCATCTCCTTTTAAGTAGACCATTCTGAAACAGATCGATTAGGATCTGATTAAACTCTCAATAAGGCCTCAATTCTACACAGAAAGGATTCTTTACACCTGTACTTGGTAACACCAAATCCTCTGGTACCGGTACTTTTAAAATGCCATCCAGTTTTTTTTACAATTTGATTTGCAATGCAATACCTTCTTCAAATCCACTTGCTTCACCCTTAGCCCCAGTCCCTTCCTTTAGACTGGGCATAGCCCCTGGTATAAGATAAAAAGGAAACCTACCCTGAGTGGTAGCCAACATGGCAGAATAAAAAAAACTGAAAAAGTCAGTCATTTTGGACTTAATCCAGAGTAGTTTCAATGGAGTGGTACAGGAGAATTAAAAATGGTATAGGAAGTGAGTGGAAATGACATAAGACAAACATGTATAGAAAAGCTTGGCAGTGAAGGGAATGAAATAATATCAGAAACAGAAACATCATGAAAAGGTTATGAATTGTTTTAAATATGAACCTAAAATCAAGATCTCACAGAGACTTTTTGGTCTCTTCTGGGGAAAGTATACACTCCAGGAGGAAGTATTAAGATTTGAGGGAGCCCAGCTAGTATGGCTAAATGGTTGAGCATCAATTCATTAACCAGGAGGTTATGGTTAGATTCTGGGTAAGGGCACATGTCTGGGTTGCGGGCTCGATACCCAGTGTGGGGTGTGCAGGAGGCAGCCGATCAATGATTCTCTTTCATCATTGATGTTCCTCTCTCTCTTTCCCTTTCCCTTCCTCTCTCTGAAACCAATAGAAATCCTATCTAATAAAGAGGGATATATCTGTTGCATAGTCATGATGTGCCACGCACTATAAAACACTATGAAATGGTGATGTACACTGTCTCCTGTGAAGGTAAACTAATGTGGTACACCATGGAGATGTGTGATAACACTGTTGTAAGAGTCTCTCTCTCTCTCTCTCTCTCTCTCTCTCTCCCCGCATTAACACACACACACACACACACACACACACACACACACACACCAGCTCCGTGTTGCAATTGCTGCTCCCTCTTGCCTCCCAATATCTCATAAGCACCAATTCTTAGATCTGTATTCTTTTCCTTGAATTGTACCCGAGATCCCCTCCATACAACCTGGCTATTTCCCCTCTGAACACCTCCTTTCTTAAGTCATCCCCTGTAAGCTGAGGAGTCTTTGATACACTGTCTTTGAGTAAAATACACCGATCACACTGTTTCATAGCATTGAGCACTTGATGAAGGCTTGGTGGGTGAATGGGTGAGCACATTATTGAGAGGGCGAATAGAAAAAAATGACTGAACTCATTTTCATAGTCAACAACCATTTATTAACACAGAAATGAATAAGGCTTGGCCCCTGTTCTCAGAATGCTTGATGCAGAGGGGCAGACAATCACAAAGCTGCGGTAGAATCACAGTAGAATAAGTACTATCACTGAGGTACAGACAAAGTACTTTGGAGGCACTGTGAAAGGGGTACACAGGTGAGGGAGAAACAATTTTCCAACTTATGCCTGCCTACAGTATTCAGGGAAGGCTCCGGAAACATCACTGATGAGTCTCAAAGGAGTAGAAGCCACCAGGTGAACAGTGAAGGAAGGAGCCCTTACAGGCTGGGACACAGGTGTAGTACGTAAGGTCAATCAAGTAAGTGAGGGGTTCAGGAAACCAGGCATGAAAGACGGAAGAAGGAAAAAGTGAGTAAGGAATGAGTAGAACTGTTAAGCACAAACCTATAGCTCTACTGTGGAAACGTGAAGGTCTTGTTTCTCCATGGAGAGGGAAGAGGGAGGGGGTAAGGTGGGAGGTCCTAAGGTATGGGTCCCTGCCACCTCTCAATGGCCATCAGGCTCCAACATCAAGGCTAGAGCTTCACAGTTGGGATCTAATATCCATAAGCCACTAAATTGTGAAAAGCCCCCTTCAGAAGGGAATAATTTGTATGAATGCAGTTCTAAATGGGAGAGAGTCCCTACTGTATTCATCTTTCTCAGATGCCTAAGAAATAGCTCTAGTTCCTTCAGGAAATCAGATGGCATGTGGAACCTGAAAAGAGAGGGTGGGTTAGGGTTGAGGCTTGCAGTGATCTCACAACTGAATTGTGAAATGATGATTATTAAAGTCTCTCTCTATATATATTTTACAAAATTCTATTTGTGTAACATAAAACTCAAAAAATATATATTTACAAACCCTTTTGTCAAATTACTTCTGTCTCTTTCACTTCTTTCATACCCGTATGTATTTTAATATGCTTAAATTTTTGTAAAAACAAACTTTTAAGCTTTTAATTTTAGGATTTTTCTATTTAAATATATGTGATTTTTTCATTTTTCAATTTTTCTTTAAATGCTATTTTTAAAGGTCTTAAAATTTTACCCTTTGTTAAATATTTAGTTTTTATTTAACTCCTTCAAATTCAACTTGTCTAAAGTTCTTGGTATATTTTAAAATCTTCTATTCTCTAATATTCCTTTTTAGATTTTTTCAATTTAAAAATTTTTAAAATTTTTTTTATCTTTTTCTTGACTAATTCTGAACATTGCTTTTATACTTTTCTCTAAACTTAAATCTATACTTTTTGAAAATTTATTTAATACATTTTCATGAATTTTGCTAGCTTTTGATTTTCAACACGCATATTTTATACTCCAATTTTACATGTTTTATTTTAACATTTTATTTCTTTAAAAAATTAAGTTCTGTTCTTTTTTAACTTTTTAATTTTAAAGCTGATTTTTTCACTAACTTTTTGGGTAAACTTCCATTTTTAATCTTTTTCCTTATTTTATTCATTTTACCTGTTTCACACTAAGAACTTTGAAAATGTTTTTAAGCCTTATTTTAATAGTTTTGAAGTTTAAAAAAAAAACTTTAATTTTTAAAACATTTAAAAATATCCAACTTAAGAACTTCCAACATTTAAAAACATTTTTCTTTTAAAATAAAAAGAAATGTTTTTTAAATGTTTCTCTTTTAAAGCTTTTTAGAATCTCTTTTAAAATATTATTCTTTCTTCAAAAACTATTCGGTCAGCCACAGCTAGAATACCAATTGTGAAGCTTTTTGCTGAACAATACTCCCTGATTTCCCACAGTATGTTTTACAGAAACAAATGACATATAGTAGTTCTAGAACATTTCTATTCCCACTCTGCCTACCTAAAATATTCTTTTCACTTAACTATGCTTTATGTGACCATTTTCGACCACTCCTTCCTCCTCCCATTTAAGGCTGGTCACTAGTTAGTATTCATTTTTCCCACAGGCCTGTGGGAAGAGTTCATTACATCAAGGTGCTAATTGTCATATAGGTGCTGTTGTCATTGTCCATTCCAGGAGGTTTTTGTGATATTTCAAGAGGTGCTCATTGTTGTATAGGTATTGTTGTTGTCCATTCCATGTAGGATCCTTGCCTACTTCTTTCTTTTACTTGGTTCTGGAAAGTGGCCTGATAAGACTAGTCTTTCTCGAGACCCTTTTTGTGATAGAACAGTAAATATCCTTCGCTGTAGAGTAAGTCCTCGATGGTAGCCTTGGTGATGACGGCATCGTCACAGCTGAACCACTGGTCCTTTTGTTGCCGGATGAAGCTGGTGTAGTGTCCACTTTCCAGAGTTCCATGGTGATTAATCACTGCGAACAAGGAATACTTATTCTCGTTGGGTGCACATTCTGGTGGTGGTTGGCCATCTTTCATTCTGCTCTCTTTCGTGGAGGCCAAAAACGGGGTCATGTCCAGCTCCAAGGGAAAGGAGATAAAAGTGTTAATCTTTCGTCTCTGCTTGCCGAGATGTTCAAACCGCTTTAGATGAAAACAGGCCACGATGGGCAATTTCTTCATTGTGAGCTGTTTGGTCGATTCCTGGTAGCTTTGGCAATGGCTACATTTGATTTTGGCACCGCTTCCCAAGTGCTCTGGCCTGGTGAACCACTGCAGGCAGTCTGTGAGTGACGGGATGCCTGGTATGTGGTCATTCCTACCCACTGTGCCGTCAGCCCTCTCTGGACTCTGGGAATTGAATGTGGCACAAGAGCTAGGCAAGTCCAAACTGATGTCCCAGCACGGGTCTATCGTGGTAGAGACGCTATGGCAAGTTTGGCAGGTGACATCAGACTGCAGGCCACCGGTAAAGATTTGGTCTATGATGCAGTTGCAGCAGTTGAAGGCATTGGCCTCCGGCCCAACACCATCATCTTTGCTGTGTCTGTGCAGCACATCTAATATCGCAATAAGGAACTCGTGGGCATCCTGCTGCCGGTACCCTGCCAAGTGTTCGGCATGAATCCATATCAGGTGCAGTAACTTGTAGGGAATGTGAGGGGTCCGGCTCCCAGAGTACATTGCGTGAAACAGCGAAGACATCTCGCAAACGAGACATAAGCTGGGGCTCGTCATGATGCACTTGTGCTTGTCAGAGAGAAAGAAATCTTTCAGCAGCGGGATGTGGGTGAGGGCCTGCACGATGCAGTTCATAAAGCAGGTGTTCCCGAGATTGATGAGCCCTCGCAGGCCTACCGTGTAGACAGACTTTTTCCTCCTCTTTTTCTTGGGTTTCACCAATTTGGGCTCCTGTTCCTTTGAGTCACAGCTGGACCGCTTCTCCTCGGCACCAGACTCCAGACCCTGCTGCTGAGCAGCATCTGCGGAGGTGGAAGCTAACTTCGCAAGCTTCTCCTTTGTCTCTTTGGCGATCTGCTCTATGTCTTTGTCATACACATAGTCCTTGCACAGAAAGCAGTACACGACCCCGTGGTAGAGGTCTACCGCTAAGTTGTGCTCTTTCGTCTCTGCATGCTTATGGATGTGCTTCTCCGTGAAGCAGCCGAAGAACACGCAGGAGAGACACGAGTGCAGTCTGTTCATGTGGGTGCTGCAGACGTGACAGATGCACGACTTGGCCTTCCGCTTCCGAGTCTCGGGGGTCCCGCTCCACACGAACCGCTGGTAGATCAGCCGCAGGTTCTTCTGCCAGTTCTTGGCTACCTTAAAGCTCTCCACGTGAGAGCAGCCGGTGGGACCCTGCTCCAGCTCCACCTCCAGCAGCCAGTCCCCGAAGCCGCTGCGGTCCCCGGAGCTGCCCGAGTGCCCGGGGCCGCTCTGCCGCAGCGGCGGCCTGGATGCCGCGGGGCGGGCCCTGCGGCTGGGTCTGCGCCAGGCCCGGGGCCGGGGTGGCACCGGGGAGGGATGCACCGGGGGCGGGGGCGGGAGCGAGAGCGCGGGCGGGCCGCGGGCGCGCGCCCAGGGCTGGGGCCGAGGGCGGGGCTTGCGGCGCGGGCACAGGGGCGCGGAGCCGCCGAGCCAGCGCGGGGGGGCGGAGGGGAGCACCTTCTCCTCGCCGCGGCCGCCGCTCCTCCAGGGCAAGGTCTCGGGCGCGGGCTTGCGCTCCTGTAATGGCTGCGGCTTCCCCTCCGCAGCCTCCTGGCCCGCGCTCGCCTTCATCGCCCTCGCCGCCGCCGCCTCCTCCTCCTCCATCTCCCCTGCCTTCGCCGCCGCCTCCGCGGGGGAGGCTCCTCCCCTACCTCCCAAGCTCCAGCGGACCGCAGAGGTGGAGGGCGAGGAAGCTTCTGGAACTTGGGCCATCAGCTCCGCTGCTGGGCCGGGGAGAGAGGCGTCCGGAACCGGGCTGCGGCTGCAGAAGGAAAAAGACGATCGCTCTGAGCGATCGGGCCGGCTCCGGGGCCGCGGCGGGCCGTGAGAGCCCCCCGGAACCCTCCCGCCGGCCCCCCCGAGCGGAGCTGCGGCCGCCGCAGCCTCCACCCCTTCTATTCAGAGGCTCCCGAGCTAGTGTGCAGAGCCACCCAGGCGTTTACCTGCTCCAAAGGCCATCGGATGGTGCCCGGGCCGAGGAGGGATGGTGGGGGTGGGGGAGGGGGAGGCAGAAGGAGGATGGGAAAGGTGCGGGAAGGGGGGGTACGGCCTGAGCTTCAGGGTGGAAGGAGATGGAATCTTTAAAAAAAGGCGCCACCCTCTGCCTGCCTGGACTGCGCCCGGAGCAGCCTCACGCTGGTACCGCTTCCTCTGACGTTCGTCCCTTAGATCCTTAAAACGCACCGCGTCTACATTTCTACCTTGAAAAATGGCTGAAAGGGGACCCCCTCTGGGAAATGGGCTCCGGAAGAAAATGGCCCCCCGCTCCCACCTTACCTAGGCTCCGGGGCTGTCGGGGTTCCACCTTCTCCCCCTCCTCCAGGCGCGGTCTTAGGGTCAGCCGCGCTCCTGCGCCCTCTCAGCGCGCTCCTCACCTCGCTTCTGGCTCCAGCACCCTCATTCCCAGGGATCCCTCCGGGAATCGGGAGCCCTTCTCACGCCCTCCACGCGTTCGCGGCCACCCCCATCCTCACCGCTCAGCCCCCCAGAGTCCCGGCCTCTTCCCGCCCCCGCCCCGCGGCGCCCCCGGCCCGCCGCGTTCGGAACGGTCCGGGTTACCTTGGGCCCCGGGCGCGTGATTCCGAACGTCAGCAGCCGCTGCTGTCCAGGCGCTCCTCACTCAGCCAGCCTCCTCTCCTGACCTCTCCTCAGGGCTGGTCACAAGGGGGCCGCCCCTGGCCCCTCCCCTCTCGCCGGGCGGCCCCCGGCCCCCGATTCTGCCCTCCCGCAGTGATGAATGGCAAGGCTGTCCCGCGCAGACAAACCTCTTCCTGAAACGGATTCTACTGGGAGGAACCGCAGTGACGGATTGGAGAGAGAGCTTCGGAAATGGAGGTTCCAGCCTCACCTGGCTCCCGGCCCACGCGCTCCGAACGAAAAATTCGTTGGGGAAGGGGGTTTCAGGGGTGGCAGCTCAGGGGTGGCAGCTCCCTGGCAGGGATCCCTCGGGGACGCATCCGAGTCCGGTGTCTGGAGTTGAGTGGAGAGAAGCTGGAGTGCGGGGAGAGGGAGGATAAGAAGGGCTCAGAGAGAGCCTCAGGCACTTGCTAGCTGTGTGAGCTCAGATAAAGCTCCCAACCCCTCTGAACCTTAGTTACATCATTCGTTGCACAAAAATGACAATCATCTAACCAGTTAAGAACACTGAATCAGTATATACAGACTAAAGAAGCTTTGTGGCCAGCTTTATCTTTTCTACCTCTCTCAATCCCCAGCTTACAATCAGCCTATCGCATAATAGGGAGACTTAAAAGGACAAGAAAAGAGAACAGCTCTCTTTTGAAGCTCTCTCAGAGTTACCGCTCAGCTCACTGGATTATCCTTCCCAGGCAGTTCATGTGGCTGAGCGTGCAGTCCACATATATACAAGGCTCAGAACAGTCCTGCTGGGCTAGGCTGAACTGTGAGAAATGCCGAATAAAGCAATTTGTGTCCTCCGGGAGTTCGTAGCCCAAGAGATTTTTTCATTCCCTTTAAGAGATCCAGCTTCCAGGGGCACCACCTGCATGAAAGGGCTCCTCCCAGGACTTGTTGCCCTCCATGTCCAATCCCAGCAATATTCATGCTTATCAGTGAGGATATTTCATATTACATCGAATCTCTCCGGGATACTCATGCACCATTTTCCTAAACCTCACAATCGGGTTTCCGTTTTCTCAGGCTTGCGAGTGGCATCCTGTAGGTGCCTTCCTAAAATACCATGTTTCCCCGAAAAGAAGGCATCCTCCGAAAATAAGACCTAGCTCATGGAAAGATAAGACATCCCCTGAAAATAAGACCTAGCGCAACTTGGGGAGAAAAAAATAATTTAAGACACTGTCTTATTTTAGGGGAAACAGGGTAGATGTCAGGAGCTCAAAGAGAGTCAATAATCTGTGAATGTTCAGACTAAGCACAGATCCACATAATCCTGGAGAGAAGAACCACCCTAACTGTGCCATACCCCAGAATGACTATAGGTTGAGAGGTTCCAATAACCGTTAGTCTCCTTCACAGGAATGTATTTTCAGGAACACGTACCTGGGATATAAGAGAGCGATTCGCTTATACTTCTGTGTTCATTAGTAGCCGTGTTTGTAACTTTAAGCAAGCTCCGCAGTCATCTGGAGAACCAATCAGAAAAGAGCTGGTTTCACCTGTTAGCAGTTCTTACCATAAACTCATGGCAACTCAAAAGGGGTCGCAGTGAGGTCTCCAGTTCACAGCTACTTGGCCACCAAGTGAGCTGAGGGGCCACACAGCGTACTGGAAAGGCCACTGTCACTCTCATGGTTCTAACTGTCACAACCGCCATCAGAGAAGAGAGGCTTACTGTTTTCAGGCTAGAAGTTTTAGCTTCTCCAGATGCAGGTAAGCTCTCAGTACAAGAGGCTCAAAAGATGGGACAATGCGATTCATCGTTTTTCTTCCTCTGGAGTTTTCAAAGAACTTCTGGTAACAATAATAATCAGCTATTATTATTGTTGATATAAAAATCAGCTCGGCTTCACTTTTTGCTCTTCATGAGTCAGCCACAGAAGCCTCCATAGTGTTCCTGTCTGTCAGATAACATGTGAAAACACCTAGCATGTCAGCCCAATCGCTTCCCTTCCCTTCCCCGTGGACTTCCATTTAAAAACATTCTTGTCTTCACCCGGTTTGGCTCAGTGGGTAGAGTGTCAGCCTGGGGTTCAATTCTGGGCAAGGACACGTACCTTGGTTGTGGGCTTGATCCCCAGTAGGGGGTGTGCAGGAGACGGCTGACGGATGTTTCTCATCTATGCATCTAATTCTATCCCTCTCCCTTCCTCTCTGTAAAAATTAATAAAATGTGTTTTAAAAACAGTCATTTTCAAACTTTTGGCACTTTGAGTCCCTTTGGCAGCTACAGGTAGCCTGTGGCTCCCTTAAGATAATAATGTTATTTTTAATAAATGCATAAAATGAAATGCACAGGATTATAACATTTGTTATACTGAAATAAGGCTTAAATTTTTGAAATACTGAATACATAGCATATGTACTTATATATTAACACATTAAATGACAGTATCTAGTGATTGACATAATAACTACCTCAGTTTCAAAGTAGTGAGCATAAACAATACTTTGAGAAATGCAAACCAATATAATGTGAAGTAAAAATCTTTGTTGGTGACATTGCCAATGCAATGGAATACTAATCTAGACCAAGGTAATACTAATATTACTGTGATCTCTTGCCTAGCTTCATAACTGGACATGCACAATTTAGAAAACATGTAGCTGAAAATAAAGACAGGTCTATTTCCCATCCATTTGCATAGACCTCTTTGAATTCCATTTTCTACTGCTTTTGCCTCTTAATGCCCTTAATGGTCAAATGTATTACAATCTACTAAGTGCATATGATGTGCTCTTCTTGTTCCACCCATTCAAATGTATTCTATCACTTGGGGTGCCAAGGTAGGTATTGTTATTCATACCTTCCAGATGGAACAACAGAGGGATCATTTCATACTGACCTAAGACCTCACAGATGAGAATGGGAGAGGGGGGTGCTGGCCCGGAAGCCCCCAGAACTTTTGATATGTTCTGTCTCCTAGTCAGTTCTTTGCTTAAGCTCTTTGTAGGGTAGGGTGTCATGGGGCATGGGCTCAGTTCACTACATTTCCACAGAATTCTGAGTAAACTGAGTATTCGTGTGAGGGAGTCAGGAAACCTTATTCAGGGAAGGAGCCAACAGATTGCAGGTCTCAGTAGGGAAGGAGTGAGGAGTGAGGATGTGAGCACCATCACCAGAGGGTCCCCTCAGGTCTGACGATGAAGGACAATGAGGTAGGGGAGGAGTGGGAATGACATCACTGCCGTCCCCTCAGGTCTGACTACAGGGACAATGAAAGGCAGGCTTCCCTGCGGACTCAATAGAGGGCAGGAATGTGGAGCTGAGACACAGACAGCACACACCGGGAACACATTTTGTCATTAAACACTGGAACATTTACAAGTCAGCAAGGGCTACTCTGGTACCTGTGAGTAGTGGCACAGTCATGACATAAACTGTCACATGGACCGTGTCTCACTGGGCCCCGCTGAGTGGACGTCCTGTTCCTGTGCCGTCTGAGACACAGCCACCTGCTCACTGATTGACCTGCTTCATGGTACCAGCCCAGTTTATTTTCCAATCTTTAAAAAATATATATATTTTTTACTGATTTTAGGGAGGAAGGGAGAGGGAGAGAGAGGTAGAAACATCAGTGCTGAGAATCATTCATAGGCTGCCTTCTGCATGCCCCCTACTGGGGATCCAGCCTGCAACCTGGGCACTTGCCCTAGACCAAATTAGAACCCAGGACCCTTCAAACTGCAGGCAGACACTCTAATCTACTGAGTCAAACCAGCTAATTATTTAATTTTAGAAAGCAGTGGATTAGTTTATGGGCCAGGTTTCAAAACTGAGATTTTAGGTAGATCATATGCACAGGCAGGAAATTCAAAATGGACACAATTGTGTAGAGTGAAATGTTTTCCTCCCTCTCCTGACGCATTCTCCAACCTGCCCTCCTGGAGACAGCCAGGTTTATTAAGCTCCATGCTGTCCTCACAGAGTTATTCTACAGAAAAACAGCTCTAAATGGATGTTGTCGAGTTCATTTTTATCACAAATGGCAACAATTAGAAACATTGTGCTTGAAAGTGCTTTTCAGACAAACAACATGTCCCAGGAAGCATCCCGCAGCAGAACACAACTCGTTGCTGTGATTTCCAAACCCTTTTGCAGCACACACCACAAAATTGCTCTTGGGTAGGACTTATAAGTCTGTACATCTAATGGAACTGGTAATCATACTTATAACTCTGTGGAAACCCTTGGAAATGTTCGCTCTCTCTCTCTCTCTCTCTCTCTCTCTCTCTCTCTCTCACACACACACACACACACACACACACACACACAACTGAGGAAATATGTTCATTAGTTTGAATGCAGTGCTCATTTAAATATGTATATGCAAATCAAGCCACCCTGCTCTACACCTTAAATAGATACAATATTAATTTAAGAAATCATTCTTTTAAACAGTGCAATGGGGAATTATAGTTTTTTATACAAAATGCAAAGGGTTGTTTTATATTGGAATGGATGCCCAAGATTTCTAACCTGGTCATTTTAACGAGTTCCATTGTTAAGGCAGAACAATGGGTTGTTTTCCACTTTTTGTCACTGCAACCAAAGCTGCAAAGGATGCACTTGTACAAAGTCACGTCACACGTCTGCCTCTCCACCAGTGGATCCAGTACCCAGAAATTCATGCCAAAGCTGTTCCCTGCAGGTGGAAGGAGTGCCAGGCTGGGGTTCACGCTCAGAATGACAGGTGCTTAGGTTGCTCACTCAGGGCACATCACACAGGGAAGCAGCAGTGCCTGATCCCCCCCTGGGAGCCCAAATCATGCCTGACCATGTGACTAGGCAGGGACCAAACATGCCAGCCTCTAGGCAAGGCTGTGACCCATGGGGACCCACTGGACACAGCAAGCTCAGTGCCTCTCAGCCCCTGTCCTGGAGCGGCCGTGGAGTTGTGTGCTCCCCTCCCCAAACGCTGCCTCCTTATGTGAGACCGGGCTCTCCCTGTCCCAGGAAGAGGTTCCCGGGACCCGGGGCCTTTGGGGCTAACATGGGATAGCCCTGAGCCAATCCATAGGTCGGTTCGAACTGTTTCAACCAAAATTCTTTGTCCATTTTAACTGCAGATGTGAAGTTCAGAAGGCACACCGACTGACAGGGCTCACCAGTGTTGTCTTTGGCTGAGAGATGGGGCTGATGGGGAAACACTCCGATGAGCATGCACTGGATTTGCAAAGATGTAACCAGTGTACGGAAGGGAGAAAGTCAGCCACCTGCCAGGGAATTGCTCAGATGCTTTGGTTTGGCAACAAGTGTTCATGTGCAACGGTCTCTGGTTGGCACACAAGCAGCAGCAAAGTGAATATTCCAAAGCCTTTCCCCAGCCAACGTTATGTTTCCCTCC